CATAAAGGTGATTTTCTTTATATTAAAAAGATGCAGTAATTGTCTTTATTATTTGTCTTTTTTTCTACTCTTTTCTGTTTATGTAATTCTCTGGGGTTTTGGTTCTTGTTCTTTGTTTAATTTTATCCTTTTTGTGCAAATAAAAATATACTTTAGCATACGTTTTTAAAAAGAGATGCAGTAAAAGAGAGATACTTCAAAACAATAAAAGCAATCTCCTTTCAAATGTGCCATGATGCCTAGGAGCTTCTCTAGAATGAGAGCATCTTTATGCCAATGAAAAAGCCCAGGCAGCACAAACATAAAGCTGTCAATTTGAATGGCTCTTCAGTGCTGACTTTTTACCTCTTTTTCTTGGATGCTTTGGATCATTCATTCCCTGTTGTGATTTCTTTCCATTGTATTTTTTGCTGTCCTGTATTATGGGCTACTGTTACTGACGGAGACAAAAAAAAGGCAATGTGATTATATGATGGCATGAGGTGAATGATCCTAAATGTTATGGTACAGAGAAGAAGCCAACATAGATATCATTTTTAGTAGTAGATCCATGTCACATAATTGTCCTGGCGCTGCAAAGAAGAGAACACACTCTAGTTATAACTATCAGTTAGGGAATGAATGTTTGTTTAGAGTGAGTCAGAAAAGACTTGAAGGTACCCAACAACAACATTTGTAGTAAGGACCAGCAAGTCAATGGGGCAAAGTAACACCCGGGAGACTTTACTAAAAGTCAAATTCTGATTAGTCTCCTTTCTTGGCCTTGTCTATCCATTCCACCGAAAATCTGAAGTGCCAGACATCAAAGTAATGCAAGGTTTGACTGCAGAGACTAAGTATTCCAGCAGAATGAGGCTGTGTACAAGGGCAGGGACACTGTGACTACTAATTTTGCTTTGATATGTTGCAAATGTTTCCATCCTACCTTTTACTAGAAAGCATTGAGGTGGTCGGAAAACTCCAGATGCAATGAAAGTTTTCTACTTGTTTGTGAATCTTGAACAAGACTAACATTATGTCATGGCTCTATACTTAACAGATGGGCATGGCCATTGAATATCTTCAAAATCAATCAAGAGATGTCATGCCAAAGAGAGTTATGTGTGTAGCACATTTGTAGTGATATATGGGGCCAAACTAACACCTGGAAAAACGTCCAAAAAAACAGTCACTGAAGACTTAGTTGTAAATCAGGTTGTGATTTGGCCCCCTGACTAGTGTTGTAAAGGCATATACCTGTTGTAAAATACATGCCAAGCCCTGCCATAAATTTCAGTAAAACCAGTATGAATTTTTCTTTAATCAGCATGTGCCACCTATACTGATGCAGTCCAGAAGTCCTTGCAAGTTGGATGGATGGAGGCTGTCTCTTCAGTCTGTAGCGTGAGACGAATTGCCAGGGAGAGGGCTATAAGTGGTGTGCATGTATCAATGCACATCTTTCAGAATGCAATTTAGATGCTAATTGATGCTTATTTGGCTCAGCCCTGATGCAACCGGGGTTGCATCGTTTCTGCAGGCATTAGAATATTGCTAAGGGGTTGGTGTGATTGGAAGTTATGTGTAGCCTAATGAATCTGAGGCTTGGGAGCAATTCAATTTGTAATGCCATGTTTGTTGCCCTTCCTGATTATTATACTTTCTTGCAAATTAGCAATAGGTGTAATCAGTATAAGAAACAAGTCTTCCAATGAACCAAAGTCATGCTAGGGTGTATTTCATTTCTCAAAGCATAAGGCACACAAACACTGGTCTTCTAGTAAATTTTGTGGTGCAAGTATCATCACAACAGCCCCGATAGCCATGGTCCCAAGGAGAATCCAAAAATGTAAGAAGCTGTGTTGATCCATCTGTACCAATCGGTTCCAGCAGTTGTCACCTCTATCAGCATCAGGTCTTCTGTAGAACTAATGGCTCTTAACCCAATGGACTTTAATTGCCTGCTCTGGTCATCAGTGTAACACAAGGTTGGGCAAATGCAGAGGATCTGTGGGCTGTACCCATCCTATTTACTTCCTCTTGGACTTTTATGATCTTCATTTGCCTTTTTTTTGAAACTGGAAGTAAGAAGGAGACCATTTCAAGCCCAAAGAAGTGTGACAGAGACTGAAATAGAGTCGTCCCTCTGTTCTTGCGGACTTAGGATCCGCGTCCCATGCCTATCCATGGGCGGTGAACAGAGGGGGACAAAATGGAGCATGTGGCCACGGTTCGCCCCTGTGCACTCCTGCAGGCGCATGCCTCCATTCAAGCCTATGGAGCTTGAATAGATCCCTTGTGAGAACAGAGGGTCGACTGTAGTGTTAAAATGGAAAATCATCCCCCAGTGACTTCTGGTAAGTGATTGTCCATTTTTAGGCTGAAAAGAAAAGAAAAGTCTATACTGCTCCATGAAAACTACTACAGAGGTCACACTGAGGGGCTTGGTAGGATGCATGTAGTTCCTGGTGTAACTCTACAACCACAAGAACTTATGTCTGAACCTTGATAAGTTCAAGTGATGATAACAGTAAAGCCCTGTTTTCTCACTGTAGTGTTTTAGGATTAATGTAACACTCGAGCTTTTCAGTTCAACTGTGCATTCTTTTCCTTCATCTTACACCTAGAGATCTCTAGGAAAACAAAGTGTGTTGCAGATAGTCTGTGAAATAACAACAAGAACAACAACAACCCCCATATTCTACATTGGCTGCTTCTACACTGCAGAAATAAATAAAGGTTTCATACCATTTTAACTTTCATGGCTCAGTGCTATGGAAATCTGGGATTTGTAGTTTGGTGGAGGCCCTAAGTCTGAGCATGGCTGTTGAGGATAGGCTGTTTTGGAGATGCTTCATTCACAGGGATACCAGAAGTCACAAGTCAACCTGAGGGCATTTAACAACAACAGCAAAGGGGACCCCAGAGCTTTCTGATGGGGAAGGCTAAATAACTCACAAAACTACAAATCCCAGAATTTCAGAGCATTGGGTCATGGCAGTTAAAGTGTTGTCAAACTGCTTTATTTCTGCAGTGTGACAGCAGCCTTAGGGCCTCGGCAGACGACTAATAGAGTCGTCTTGGAGGCCCCGAAGAGGAGGGGCAGCCGCACGAGCGGTGCCCCTTCCTCTTCCTGAGGTCGCCCTGGAAGCTGCCGGCCCTCCGCACGGCCGGCGCTTCCAAGGCAACCTCCCTCCGCAG